CCTCAAATTTCAACTTCCTAGACCCTGCGGTTCCCGAGATAATAGTTCACCCGCCAAAAGTTTCACCGGACTGTATATGTTACTCGCGGATAAAGGAAAGTTTGAATTCTTTTCTGGGTCGCATATGGCCAGTTGACAGTAACCCACTAAATTTTAGCTTCCTAGCTTCTATGGTTCCCGAGATAATGTTTTTACTCACCAAAAGTTTTGCGCGGCGTACGTTTTACCCGCATGTATGGGAAGGCTGAATTTAAATTTGCCGTGTCTCACGTTAGCGGGGAACACTGCAGTAAAATTTCAGCCGCCTAGCTTTTGTGGTTCCCGAATTGAAAGTGCGGGACAAAATGTGGGTCATATATATATATATATATATATATATATATATATGCATATATGCATGTACATATATATATACATATATATACAACCCCGTGACAATACGCGTTTTGTGCTGCTGTTACACAGCAAAAAGCGCATAAAAATAACAGTATTGTTGGATTGCTTGTTATTAATAGTTCAGAAAAAGTTGTATATGTAATGGACTGGTTTTTGAAAGGGTACATTATGAATATTCAGGGGCACCGAAGTCGTTCGCAAACGATTATCACAGGGCGAACAATTTTGTTATGTTTTCCGTTGGCTCGATGATCTGTTGTGTTATGAGGAAATGGCCTGTTCGTCTACCGAAGTTTGTTTTCAGTTTTTGCTTGCTTGCTTCTTTTGACGAACTGTTTTTTTGCATGTCAATAAAATTATGCGAAAAAACAATTATTCGAAATCCTTATCACTCATTTTTATGCATTTTTGCATCTATGCAAATGCAAAAACACATGTTGACAAGAGGCTGTGTGCATGTGTGTATGTTTGCACTTTTCGTCACCCAATTTCAACTGGAGAACCAGAAAAGCTAGAGAGCTGAAACACTGAAAGTATGTGCCCATCACCCTGTGCGACCCTGTAGTTTCAATATTATCCTTGTATGCGTGGGTCCCACGTACGGCCGCTTCAAAAAAATATGCAAATTTTTTGGCGGAAAAGTGACCTCAGAAACCAGATAAGGCAGAGAACTGAAACTTTGCGGGAATATTCTCGTTGCATGTTTGAGCTAAAGATTTTTAAATTCAGCCCCCAGGTATTCGTGATGCTCACGTTCGAGCACGCGAAAAATTTGGCAAGAAAAATCCCCGTCCACTTACAATTTAAAGGTTTCAAATTCAGCCCCCTGACGCGCATGGTACTCTTGTACGGTCTTGTAAATGTTTTGGCGGAAAAATTACTAATTCATGGACCAGATGAACTAGAAGCTGAAA